GGGTGGGGAGGGTGGTGTGTGGCGGCATCTGCTCCCTGGGGCCACCCACAGGTCAGGGCAGGGCTCTCAGGCTGGCTGCCTCTGGCCCTGGTGAGCTATGGAGACCCAGGCCCAACCAGTCCCCCCCTCCCCACAGTGCTGCTGGGAGAGCCCAGGGTGGTCATGGGACTCGAGGCAGAACTTTGGCCCTCCCCACCTGACACGGCTGTGGCCGGCACCAGGAGGTCTGCATGGGGTCCAGGGGCACAGCTGGTTAGCCTCTGTGGCCGGGGAGACCCAGACTGTTCCTGCCCCAGTGGCTAAGCAGCACAGGCAGGCCATTTACACCCACCTTCCCTTCCCCCTCTTTCCCTCCCTCTAACTGCATGAAATGTGGACTGTGTACCTGGGATGGGCATGGTGGGGACCGAGTCTGCTGACTGGAATGATTCTAGAACCAAAATAAAGCTGGGGCAGGAAGGAGGGGGCTTCCGGGGAGCCTGGCTCAGCCCCAAATCACCTTCGTCTGTTCTTCAGGAATCAGGGACTTGGGTCTCTGTGTGTGTTGCTCTGAGTGGACCGCCCTGCTGCTGGGTACCCAGAGGGGAAGGAGGCCCCTGTCTGGCTGGGGAGACCATCACAAGGACCAATGCCATCAGACTGCTTGGGAAGCTCCAAGAAGGGGCCCTCAGCCAGGCCTGTCGGGGGGATGGCAATAGAGAACACCACGGAGGGCTTCCTCGTGGTGTCGCTGAGCCGTCTTTAGGGCAAGAAGAACCATAAGGTTGAAAAAGGTAGACAAAGCCAAAAAAGCATTTCTGGAAGAGGGAACAATACACAAAAGGGCAGGAGCGGGCAAAAAAAAATGGGCCAACTTGTCAACCTTGCAAGAGCAAATTTGGGGGAGGCTGAGGAGAAGAGAACCAAAAGAAAGGCTTAGGGAGAAGAAGGGCCGTCCAAGTTCAGTGGGTGCCGGTGCCAGCCTGCAATCCTGCAACACTGCCTACCCAGAGGGAGGTACTGTTGTCATCCCCTTTTTTGCAGGTCCAGAAACAGAAGCTTAGAGAAGTTAGGCAACTAGTTCAAGACCACACAGTCAGAAAGCCTCAGAGCTGGGACTCAAGCTCCACCTGTCTGGCTCCAAAGCTCATGCTCTTAACTGTCAGGCCACACTGCCCCCTTCCCCGACTCCCCCAGGCTGCTCTAGTTTCTCCCTCCCCTGCCCTGGAAGACCACAGTAAGTGTAGGAGGATGATCTAGGTGGAAATCACCAGCAGTCCCCAGGAGGCCTGCCTCCCACAGAGCTCGAGGGTCCCAGGCCCCCTTCGTCTGGGATGCTTCAGGGACAGGCCGCACTGCATCCAAGAGGACGGGTACGGAGGTCAGTGACCTGACCACACTGGGCCACGCCTGCGTGGGGCAGGGGGTGAGCCAGCATAGTGCCCGCAGCCACTCAGACCTTCACTTCCTCTCTCCTGCCTCAGCCAACTATGCCGACAGATGCCCAAAGGGACAAACAGAAAGGCTAAATAAACATAAGATTGGGCCACAGGGCCCCCTCACTCTCTGCCACTTCCACCCCATTATCAACCTTCTCATTCCACCCACCAGGATCCATCATGGCAGGTCAGGGAGAGGAGGCGAGGATAGGAGTCCAGTTAAATGGTAGCTGGAGTGGAGTGGATCTGACGGAGGCCAGACAGATGGAAACGGGAGAACAGCCTCCACCTGCCATAGACTGGGCCTGCAGCTTACTTCCTGTGTGACAGGTCCCTTCCTCTCGAGAGCCTCAGTTTCCCCATCTGAAGAATAAATGTGTTGGTCAGAAAGGCCTCTGAAGGCCCCCCCCCACCTCTGGCTTTCGGGGATTCTGTGTGTAGGAGCTCTAGACCCCAAATGCCTGGGTTAGAGTCCCAGCTCATCCACTTACCAGCTATGGGATCTTAGGCAAATCATCTGTCCTCTTTGGGCCTCAGTTTCCTTATTTGTCAAAGGAGGATAAGAATTATACATGATAGGATGGAATGAAGTGACACACGCGCCAAGTGTCTGGCATCCAGGAGATGCTCAGTAAACAGGAGATCAGGGCTTCGAGTGGAAGAGTTCTGGCCAAAGACAAGATCTCTTGAGACCTGCTGTTTGAGCTGAAAGGGAGGGGAGGGCACAGAGGGAGGCATGAGGAGCAAAGGGCCTGTGGACCCTGCCAAGCCATCCCCAGGGGCACTTGACCTCTGAAGTTCCACCCCACCCCCGGCACCCACTTCCGCCCTCCGTCAACCACTCATAAGCGCCCCACACCCTGAGCTAGGAACTCCCAGCAGAGCAGGCAGCCGGGGCCGGGATGGTACAGGGAACGGAGCAGCCACCAGGCGGCAGCAGAGACTCGGCTGGGGCAGCAGGAGACTCCTGGCCTCAGGGAGAAGGGGGTCGGGGGGTCAAAAATGCGGCAAAGGTGCCAAGGCCAGGGGGCACTGGAGCGGATGGAGGCTGCAGGGTGGTCACCTGCCTGCTGCCCCTGCCATCGGGTCATGCGCTGTATTCTCACCTGGGTGGTCGTTTGGTCCTTGTTCGTTTCTCCAGTTTGTTTATTCTTTTGAGTCAACCAACCTTCCTTCCTCTCTTCCCTGCTCCGTTTTCCTTCCTTTCCCCTCTTTGGCCAGCCAGGCAGTCAATGGGACACAACATCCTGAGCCTCAGTTCCCAAATCTGTAGAATGAAGGAAGCAGACCACTTGGCTCTGCTCACGTCACAGTCTGACAGCTGAATGAAATAATGCATGTGAGGTGTGATGTCACAAAAGAGACCTGCTGTGTGGCCAGACCTGGGTTCAAACTCAAGTTCTGCCTCTTACTAGCTGTGGATCTTAGACAAGAATTTAACCTCCCTGCCCCCCAGGGTTCCTCATCTGTAAAATGGGGCTAACAATTTCCACCTGCTAGGGGACAGTGCCAGCACACAGTTAGCTATACTTTAATGGGCGCTGTTATTCTTAGGAAATGTTCAGTGAAACTGTAAGGCATGACATACGTCAAGGATGTCATTATAATGATTATCCCTATAGCAACCAAGGCCAAACGCCTCTGCCTGACTCTCAGCTCCCTCCACCTCCAGTCTGGCCCCACCTGCCTCCTAGCCTTGTCACCCAAAGCCCGATGACAGCAGCAGTGGGGAGAATAGAGGATGACAAGGCTGACAGCTGATCCTTGGGGGACGGGCCCCTCCCACCACTCCTTGGGGCGGGGAGCCCTGCTTGGTGGCTACACACCCAGCTCAGTGCCAAGTCATTGCTCAGCCCTTTGGCAGTTTCGGGGAGGAAAGAGCACCTAAAGGGTGGGGATGTCATGAGATGCTCCCTCCATCCAGATGAGGCTCCATCCCTCCTGCTGACTGTGACCCTGGCTGAGCTTGGAATAAGAGTCAGGGGTCTGGGCTCTGCCTCTTTGCAATGGGGACAGTGACTCCTGCCCCAGCTGCCTCTTTGGTTCCCAGTGAGGTTCAACATGGGTTGTGGGTGCTTTTCCACGTGCCCGGCTTTGAACTCCACCAGGGCTGACGACATGACCTGCATGGGGAAGGGTGTGTGAAACCCAAAGATTCTACCGTCCATGCCTTTGAGCTTCACTGAAAGCACTCAATCCAGGATCTGGGGAGAGCCTTGTGCCCATTTTCAAAAGATTTCAATTCAGTTCAGTTCTGTATTTATTCCCAGCATCCAAAATGCTCCACTATCCAGGCCCTGTTTGGCACCTCAGCCTCTCCTGGCACCAGCTCCCCAACCTGACCTCACCTTCCATCACAGGGAAGGCCTGCAGCACCCCCTCAAAGTACCCCCTCTCTCTTGCCTCCATACTTTGGCTGTGCTGCTCCCTCAGTTTGAACCACCTTTCCCCCCCCCACCCCCATTTGACTCACTTTTTCTTCAAGACTCTGGCCCCTCTCCTTAGAAGGGTTTCCTGATCCCCGCCCGCCCCCCCCCAGGTAAGGAACCAGCCCCTCTTCCCTACTGCTGTCCCCTCCCTGTCCCCACCTGTTGTAGCTCTTACCACACCAATGTCCTGCCTGTCCCCATTCTAGAGGTGAGCTTCTCAAGATAGGGACTTCATCTTGAAGTATTCAAGGTTCCCAGGCCCTTGGGCATCGGTATTGGTTAAATAGTAAGGATCACTAGCACATGCACCAACCATGCACCAGACCCTACTCTAAGCACTTTATGGGTGGAAGGTTCCCTCACTTTCCTTAGATGATGCCCCAGCCAGAGCTGAGACAGGTGGTCACTGACCCACTGCATCGAAACTTCCTGGTGCTGGCTGGGGAAGGGCAGGGCAGGCTGGCAGTGCCAGCAACTGACCCATAAGGGTATGCCCGGGTCCCCGCCTTCCCACCTGGCCTTACACATCTGGAGGGAGGATTGTGGTAGGTTCTGATTCCAGAGCCCTGGGGGAAATGCACATTCTTTCCTTCACGCATCCATTCATTCACCCAAAGTCACTGGCTCTTGTTCAGGGCCGACCGGCGCCGGGCACCAGGGACCCAGTTCTTGTCCCTTCAAAGCTGGTAGGCTCACCTGGCTGACCCCCGCCTCCTTCCTCCCAGGGGAAGTGGGCCAGATGCCTCCTCTTTCCCTGTCCACCCGCCCCACACACAGTCATCGTCCGGCCCCTTGTCTTCTCCCCATCGGACCCGGGTGCCCTCCCGAGGCCGCAGGCTGAGCGCGGGACCCCGTCCTGTGCCCCCCCTCCCCGGCCCGGCGCCCGCCCTCCGCAGGGGCTCCAGAAGGGTTTCCCGAGGGGCCGAGCGGGACGCGAGCCGAGGAGCCCGCCCCGCCGCCCGCCCCGCCTCCGGGCTCTCACCTGGGCCCGCGCCCCCGCCCCCGGCCGCCCGGCGCGCACTTCCTCCCGCCGCCCCGCCCCTTCCACATTCCTGCCCCGCCGCCCGCCCGC